TTATGGTTGTTGCAACTGGGAGGGTGGGGATACTAACGGCATCTAGTGGGTGGAGACCAAGGATGATGCTCAGCACTCTACAATGCACGCAGCACAGCCCGGCACCACAACAGCAGAGTCAGCTAGTCCCAAATGTCAATAGGTTCAAGGCTGAGAAACACTCACTCAAAACAAAGTTCACTCCTTGCACACCCTCTGAACTGTTCCAGAGGGTCCAGGAAGCCTGGGTCCTGGACATGCTGGGTTGAGTCCAGCCTGCCAGGGGGTGACCGGGACTTTCCACCGAGAGCTCCTGAACTGGAAGCATTGGCGCCCACCCTTCCTGCCTGGAACTTTCTCTCTTGACCTGCCCAAACCTCGGGTTCCAGCATGGCTATTCTCCCTGCCCAACACCCCCTCCCTTGGCAACCTCGTTCCCTTGGCACAGTACAGGCTTCTGGCCCAGAAGCCCTGGGAACATTCCTGACCTTTGCTTTAGTTTCCTCCAGCTCCTGGCAGCTTCTTGCTGGCCCTCTGAGTCCCACCCCCTACCCCCGCCCTCCCTGCAAGCCCAGCTCCCTGAGGTACCCCATTGTTCTCGCTGCGTCTTGGTCTCAGGCCTGTGCCCTCTTTGCACCCTCATCTCCCAGTGGTCCACTGAGAGGCAGGCATGAGCGAGAAAGGAGTGCCTTTCTCCAGCCATGTTTGGGCCCGCCCTGGGCCTCCAACTTGGCCCTTACCTGACGCTCAGTTTCAGGCAGAAGAGAGGTGGCTGACCCCCTCAGAGCTTCTAATGGGAGCTGGGTGGCCTGGGCTCTCCTCCCCTCCTCCTCCCTATTCTCGAGTTGTTATCTGAGCAAGGCACACCTACCCATCCCCCACCAGTTCTGGAAAGGTAGAGAAAATTCCCACTTCCAGCCTCCCCTTGGGAGCGGAGGGCAAGGTTGTGGGGAAAGCTGAGAGCCTCTCACAAGGAAAGAGCTGGTAGAGCTTCCTGAATTATGGATGTGCTGCTGCCACTGACCCCGGGGACACTTAAGTGCCTCTTAAGCAGCCAGTAAAACCCACCTTCAGCTGCCCCTGATGTCTTCCTGGGGAAGAAAGGCCTGTTCTCTGCATCCTTGCTCTCAGAGGCCCTGAAAACAGCCAGGAATGTGACCACCGCAGGGAATTTTGCAAGGCTTTGTTTCTGATCTAGAAATGGGCCTTGGCAGAGGGGCCTGAGGCCCACCCGACATCCAGCCCAGAGCCGGGCTTCTCTGAGCATGATGCTGGTCAGTGGGGCTTTCCCTGTTTGTGCCCAGGGCCCTGTGCCTCAGACAGCAGAAATGGGTGCAGGAGGTGCAGCCCCAGGCCTGGGCTCCATCCTCATCCTGTGTGACCCCCCAGTAACATGCATGACTCCTCTGGGTCCAGCTGCAAAAATCACAAAATGCCACTTGAGCATCGGTGAGGTAAAGCTGATGCTGGGGGCTGGGAGCAGGCCAAATGATGGAAGTACCATCTTCTACACACCCACACATCTTGGGAGAGATAGGACAGAGGTCGCCTGGGATTTGCAGCTCAGCAGATGTGGGTCCCAGCTCTGACATGTCTCTTAGGAGTTATGAGGCCCTGGGTGGCAAGCCCCCCACCCCAAGCCTCACAATAAGTAAAGTGGAGAGAATAGTGGTGACTGCAGTGCTGTCACAACAGTGTGGACATGGGGCACCTTGCCTGGGGCTCAGCGTTTTTTCCTACAGACAGTCCTTCCTCTGAGGAACTCACATCCTAAACTGCTACTCTCCCCATCCCCACCAAAACCAGGGAGCACAAAAGAGCCTCTTTTCATAAGGAGTCCAATACCCATGTTGCTGGCTTACTAGCCCCGGCCCTTGGGGGACCTAGGAAGCACTCAACCACATCCCCACTCTACCCCAGGACCTGGCATTGGCTGCCAAGCTGTTCTGTTTATTGGACAAAAAAGGGGCCACATACTAAACCTGACAAGCTCTGGGGAGCCCTGCATGGTGGCCTTACAAGCTCAGAGACAGAAAGTAACCACATAGGATGGTCTGAACATATAAATTCCTAACTAAAATCATGTCATGGCGGGTGTTCACATCCCAGGCTTGTAGCTTCCTTGACAAACCTGTCTTAACATACCTTTAGAACATCACAGTAATCTCTTTTACCAGGCCCTTCAGGTTCCAGTCACCCACACCAGAGCACAAAACAACAGGGCCCCTCATTGTTATCTTGTTCCCCCAAATATCACCTCTATGTGTTGTAATTGTTAATCATTAACTATCGTATACCCACCCATGTAAAAAGGCTATGTATCTGTCTGTTTTACTCTTTATCCAATCCCAGAGATTTCCGTTTGCTTTCTTCCACCCCCTTAATCCACCACCAATGAATTTCATGTAACTTTCCTTATGTCTCATTCTTTGATTCTATTTTCTTCTTTGTTTTATATATTGATTTTTTAAGATTTTATTTATTTTTAGAGGGGAAGGGAGAAAGAAAGAGAGAGAAACATCGATCAGTTGCGTCTCTCATGCCCCTCAACAGGGGACCTGATGCACAACCCAGGCATGTGTCCTGACTGGGAATCAAACCAGTCACCTTTCAGTTTGCAGGATGATGCCCAACCCACTGAGACACTCCAGTCAAGACTATTTATTGATTTTTAGAGGGGAGTGGGTGGGGGGGGGGGGGGAGAGAGAGAGAGAGAGAGAGTTCTTGTTCCACTTACTTATGGATTCATTTGTTGATTCTTATATGTGCCCTGACCAGGATCAAACCTGAAACATTGGTGCATTGGGACAACGCTCTAACCAACTGAGCTACTCAGCCAGCGCTTCCTTCTTTGATTCTAATATATAAAATAAGCTGCAAAACTGCCATTTTTCAGAGCATGTTTTCAATCCGTTGAGGTTTTGCTTCCTAGATATTGTCATTAGTTTGGCCAAAAAAACTCATAAAAAAATCTCTGCAAGTTTGGAGATTTTATGTTGACATGTTCAACCTTCTCCTTGCAAAGTGTCTCAACTGGGTCTGTGACCAGGGCTTGCTGTGGCCCCAAACTGGCGTGAGGGGCAAATGCAGGGCAGGTAGTCTGGTTCTGGCAGCGGGGTAGTGGGTCTATCAAGCTTGTGGCTGATAGTGTCCATGCCCCTGCTTGAGTGCAGAATGCCTATTTGACCTCCCCTTCCTCTGTTGCAAGAGGGAGACTGGAGCAGCATTTCTAGGCAGAAACAGGAGCACGGGAAGCAATCAGCTTGAGGAAGCTGTGCAGCATTTCCTTCCTTTCTCACCAGCTCCTCTGGAGGCCTTGACAACCTGGGCTTGGGAAATGAAGCTTCTGGGTTTTGGGAAGGAGACCCAGCAGGCCTACTGGGACCCCAAGGAGCCCCTCGGGACTAGGGCTGCCCTGCTGGCCTGGGAATTCCTGGGCCAAGGTACCCTTGTGTGCATCATCACATGCCCTGCACATACCAGGACCACCCAGAAAATGGCTGAGTGACCCCCACAGGGCAGTCCATGGCAGTCTAGAGGCACACCATCCCTGGGCTAAGGGGATGCGGACCCTCCCACAGCCCAGAGGTTGGGGAGAAAGAGGAGTGTGTCCACTTGGGCCCCCGTCCTCCCTAGCATTAAATGGAGCAGGAGGCCCAGAAACAGGGGTATGGAGCGAATGGCTTTGAGGAGAGGAGTTTTGGTGCTTGGTCCTGAAATCAGAGCTGGATGGCTGGGTTCCCCACTGAGAATGCCCTCTGCCTCCCAGCCCTGAGCAGAACTGGTGGGCAGGACAGGAATGGGGCCTCTCTAGTCCACCTTGGGGTCACTCCTCCCCTCATAGCCAGCCTTTCCCTCACTTAAGGTCAGTGTGCTCTTGCTTACTCTTACCCTCTGCCTCTCCCTAGTCAAATCTCCTATGAGAAATTGTCCAGCAAACACATTTATGTTGAAGAGACAGGGCTTTGTAAGCCAATGCCACAGTGAATCTCCGACAGCCAGATGGGAGACTGTGTAGTTGTGAGCTGGTCCTTCTCACCCTCCAAATCCATATAGATGCTCTCAATCAAGTCAGTGGGGAGGTGGGGGGTGGGGAGGGGTGTCAGTGAATGCGAAAGTAAGCACATCTGGGGGCCAGAGCTGCCTTTGAGTACTCCAGGGATCAGAACACGAACTCTGGAGTCAGACTCAGATCCTGATTTAAGCTTTCCTTAGCTGTGTGACCTTGGACCAACTGCTTAGCCTCTCTGAGCCTCAGGCTCTTACTCTGTAATGGGGCTCTTAGGAGGATTAACTGAGATACCACTTGGCAAGGTGGCTGACCAGTAAATAGCACCTGCTGTGGACTGTGGGGTACCCTGAGGCGGGACCTATGGGCTGGCACTTTATCAGCAGGAGGATCCCTGGCCCCGGACAAATAAAATGCTGGAAAATAGTGTCCTGTTCCAGTAGCAAGTCCATCCGCCCATTCTCAAGGGACACTGAAGCAGAGCTCACTGGATGCCACACTGCCTCTTTGTTCTGCAGTGGAGTAGGGCACCCTTTCTGATCACTATTTACTCTAAGAGCCAGGCTGAGGGTCCACACCAGTCCCCTGGACATTCAGGTCAAAATCTAGTCCTCAGGAGCGTCTGTTCTTTGTGGCTTAGAGGCCAGCCACACCTTGCTCAGCTTTCAGAATTGACTTACTTCCAAGAACAGGATCCACTGCCAGGCCAGCTGGAGAAACATCTGGACCCACCGCCCCTCAGCACCCTGTGCAGGGTGGTTGATGGCAAGGAGTGCTCCTGCCCTGCCCAACCCCCAGGCTCTGGGTCAAGGCTTTGTTTAATGACAAAGGGTCAGACGGGGAATTTCCTGTGGTACCCAGGAACTCATTCAGCCTCACAACTGCCCAGCCTATAGGTAATACTAGCCCATTTCACAGACGAGCAACTGAGATCCAGAGAACCCCTGCTCTGGCTGAGCTGGGACTCACGTCCTGCCCCATGGCCTCCCCTATGGCTCGGGCCCCTCCTTACCGTTTGATGGGGTCCCTGCCGATGTCCTCAGCCTCTGCCCTCCAGACCCCCGGCTGCCCTTGGCTGTGTGGATCAGAGAATATGGTACCAGGGGCCTGGGCCCAGGCCCCCAGCAGCCCCCAGCCTAGGGCCCCCGTAAGGCTGAGCAACAGCATCAGGATCATCTTGGTAGTGGTCAGGCTCAGCTTCTGCCAGTGATTCCAGAACTGCTTCAAGTGAAGTCTCAGAAGAAAAGGAAAGCTAGGGACAACAAAGAGAGGAAGTGGCCTAGGCCGGCCCAACCGGTGCTTCTGGTCCAGCCCCCTCACACACACACACACACACACACACACACACACACACTCCCCACCCCCAACAGTGGCATCCAACAACCCAGCCCGTTCCTGTGCCCTGAGAACACTTGGGTCAGGGACACTGGGAATTTGGGAAACCCAAGGAAGTGGCCCCACTGAACATGTCCTCCTGGGAGTGAGAAGCACACAGGGGTCAAGGTGGGGCTGTAAGAAGCAGTTACTGAGTCTCAGGGAAACTGGTCTGAATCCATGCTGGTGGCCAGGAAGTGGGGAGCACTTCGTTCCCGCTTAGCTCCTCTCACCATTGGGCTGTGGGAGCCAGCAGGTGGGGAAAAGCTCAGAGGGAGAAGGGGGCTGTCTGAGGACCACACAGTGTATCACCAGAGGCCAGAGCATGGGGAAGCCTTTGTGGGACCTGTCCTAGCTCCTGCACTTCACCTTGCCACAGCCCCAAGACAGGGTCTCCACAGTGAGTGGCTGGGCAGCCCAGGCCGGTATGGGAGGTTGTCCACGCTTGCCCGACAGGCCTGAGCGGCCCTGACCCCTACCCCACCTGGATTCTGGTAGCAAAGGCTCCTCTCCTCATGCCCTAGATGTCACAGACATAACAGCCCCAGGTCTGAGAGCACCCGGCCAGGGCCACTTCTGTGGTGGGTAAGGCAATGAATGAATGAGAGGCAGTGATGGATAAGGATGTGTACAGACCTCTGCAGCCTCTCTGGGGAAGGTATGGGACAGGAAGGGAGAGTTAAGCCAGCAGGAGTCCAGGGGACCTGGACCTTGCTGCCAGCCTCCACCCTCCCTCCCTCCCCACCTCCCTCCTTTGCTCCCTTGCTCCCTCCCTCCTTCCTTCTTGTGCCTGCCCCCAAGATTGGCTGGGCTTCCGCAGGCCAGCCGCTGCATCATCAATATTTCATTGGCGCGTCAATAAGAGGCAGCAGTGGGGACAGCGGCTGCAGCAGCACTTGTGCCAGCAGCAGCCACAGCCTGCAAGGAGAGTTGGGCTCCTGTTCCGCCACCACCATGGACGTCTTCAAGAAGGGCTTCTCCATCGCCAAGGAGGGTGTGGTGGGCGCCGTGGAGAAGACCAAGCAGGGGGTGACAGAAGCTGCTGAGAAAACCAAGGAGGGTGTTATGTATGTGGGTGAGTTTGGGCGGGGCAGAGAGGAACAGCTTGGTGGCCAGAGCCTGGAATGTCCTGTTACTTTGGGTCTGACCTTATCTCCCAGCTCCAGGGTGGCATTGTGAGAGGGGATGAGGATCTGGCTGTTGAGTCGGGGTCTCCGGGCACACACCACTCTCCTGCACACACCAGTGTCTGTTTGGACCTCCTCAGCGCCCCAGGGGTCTCTAGGACAGGACATCAAGAGAGATACTCATCTCTGAGACACACCTGTTTGTGCACACACAAATGCATGCACAAACTCGCCGGGCTCCCCCATCACCCACAGGCTCCTTGACTCAGATAAGAAGCCACACTGAGCCTGGAGACCCTGCAGGCAGGCGGGCTGGCAGATGCTCAGCAACCAGGCCACAGGTCTCCACCCTGCTCAGAGAGAAGGGGTGGGACTGGGGAGATGAGACCCAGACTCAATGTCCTGTCGAGCCCCATCCCCCCTCGGCTCTGCTCCATTGAAGAGGAGGCAAAGCTGATGACTCAGCTCTCCTCGGCAGCCCTGTGGCTGCAGCTTCTGAGGCCACACCCAGGCAAGGTCCAGACAGCACCTCTCATCCCTCCACTTCCCATCCTGTCCACTGTCCTGTCCTCTGTCCTGTCCACTTCCCCTCTCCCTCCTTCCTCAACACAGCAGGCAGCAGCCTTTGAAGGGACTGCCGGTATCCAGACACCATCCTTGCTCACTGCTGACTCCATGGCTTGTCCAGCTGTTCTGTTGCCCTGACAACTCCACTCCCAAGGAGTTGGATCTGGGCTGATACCTCCATTTTCTCCCCAGGAGCCAAGACCAAGGAGGGTGTTGTGCAGAGTGTGACCTCAGGTAAGGAGCCCCAAGACCAGGGGATGTAGGGGTTGGGACCTCCAGGGACTTCTGCACCTTGATACTAAAGACCCAAGCTCAGGGTCCTCCCTATCCCCCAACTGGGGTCCCAAGCTGTACATGGACCCAGACCCATCAGAATCTGAGGCTAGACCCAGGGTTGGCCTCGTAATCACCAGAACCGCCTGGGCCCAGAGAGGGGGCAGCCTACGTTCTTGGTTGGAACCAGAGGTTTGAGTGCCCTGGGAAAGGGGCCGCTCAGGACTGACTTGGGCAGGCCAGGCCCTGGTAGGGAGGGGGCAGGGCCAAGGCTAGCCAGAGCTCTCCCACAGTGGCTGAGAAGACCAAGGAGCAGGCCAATGCTGTGAGTGATGCAGTGGTCAGCAGTGTCAACACAGTGGCCACCAAGACCGTGGAGGAGGCGGAGAACATCGCGATCATCTCAGGAGTGGTGCCCAAGGTGAGACCTGGTCCCCAGCCCTGATTCTCAGACCAGTCCCATTCATTCCAATAGGCCCCCACCAAGAGGAAAGGGGTGGGACTGAGGAGATGAGACCCAGACTCAGTGTTCTGTCCGCCCCCATCCAGAGAGGCCAGCCTAGGAAAAGGCATTATCATTCCACTGACATACAAGAGAACGGAGAATTAGGGGCTGTGGTGATCTGTGCTTGATGTTTTCACACCCAGTCATGTAGAATCCTCACAGCCACCCCATGAGGGGGAGCAGTTTGAGAGCCAACTGCAAAGTGAGTCTCAAAACCACACCCTCTTGCTCAGCATTTAGAAGGTACCACGTTTGACTAGTGAAAGCAGAGTCCTGTGGGCCCCATGTGATGACAGCCAGCATTCTAGCAAGTGGACACTGGGGAGTCGCCACCAGCCCAGTGACCAGCCTTTCCCCAGCCCTTTGGTGGGCAGCCACTTCCTCCCAGAAGGAGCTGGGAAGCAGCACCCTGTGGTGATGGTAAACTGAGGCTCTGACCCTACCCTCCTCCTCAGCCTTTGTATCTGTGTTGAGTGTGCACCTGAGTGAGTGTGCAAGTATGTACATGGGCACATGTGTGTGCCTATGTGCTGCTCGACAGCACAGAGCATAGGAGGAGCAATGGGGCACTCCCAGGAGGCAAAGGCTGGTTGGGTGAAGCATCCCAGCGCCCCGCACCGAACAGGCTCTGCTTGAAGCATTTTACACTTCTTTGCTCATTTAATTGGCACAAAACCCTTGAGACAGGGTGTGGAAATAAGGTGCAGAGAGATGAAGTATTGTGCCCACGGTCCCATGGCTAGTCTGTGAGGGCCTGCAAGTCCCAGGGCAGCCGGGCTCCAAGCCTGTGCTCTGACAGACGCTGCTGTGCGAGTGCGCGCGCGGCGGTGGGGGCAGGGTCCACACTGGGGCAGGAGGTGTTCCCATTTCAGAGGGGCCGTCTCCAGCTCTGTCTGAGGCTGTCCTCTAGAAAGCTCCCATACCTGGTACCAGTTGCCCAGGGCACCCAGCACTCCGAATCCCTGCTCCAGGTGTGGGTGAGTGGCAGGGGAGAGGCAATCCTTCCCCTGGCTCTGGGGGCAGCACCTAGGTGTCTCCCTCCAGGGCCAGCACAGGGTCTCCATGTCATTGGAGAGGCAGCTGCTCCCTCTCCTAGTTCCCAGCTCTGCCTCTTCCCCCTCTATGACCTTGGGAGGTGGCTACTCACCCTCTCTGGACCTCCATTTCCACATTTTTAAAATGGGAAGGAGGTGAGAGTGACTATCTGTCTCACTGGGCTGTGTGATGATGCAGGGAATTGGCTCCCCTGAAGCAGTTGGGACTGGCTCATGGTCAGCACCCAGGAAAGGAAGGTGACTGTATCACCATTATCATCATCATCAGTGCCTCTGGGCAGGACCCACATATGCTCCAGGACATGCCAGGTGCCTCCCTTCCATATTCCCAACAAAAGAGGCCCTGGGTAGAGCTGGGCTGCTTGGGCACTCATTTGTGACCTTGGAGGAGGGCTAGTGAGCCCTTGAACCCTTGGAGCCACCCCAGACTCTAGTGTAGAAGTGACCACCCCAGGCCAGTCACAATTTACCATCCAGTGAACCATGAAAGGATGCAACCTTTCCTATCTGTCTGACTGTTCATGCCACTGGACCCATGTGCCTACCTTGGGGGAGCAGGACTAAGCAGATGGCCACCCACCCTTCACCTGGAGAGGCTGCCCCACCTCAGGCTGACATAGTTTGGTGCCTTTATACCCCAGTCCACTAAGAGGCAGGATGGCCTGTTGTAGCATGGAGATAGGTGCTGATCGCCCAGTCTGGCCCTGCCCACCAGCTGTCACACAACCACTCCTAGGCAGGCCTCCATCTCAGACAAGTGTCCAGCCGGATGTATAGGAGGGTAGGAGACAGGAAGTGGGAGAGGATAGTGTAACCCCTGCTGGCCCCAACCAGAGCAGCCTGAGCCTAGAGTGAGCCCATCCGGAAGGTGCGGAGAAGGAAAGAGAGAGGCATTCATGCTACTGGGGATGGAGTGGGCCTAGAGCAAGTCAGACCTGATTCCTACTGCTTTGAGCTCTCAGGCCTCAAGCTAGATATGTGGCCTTCCTGGCCTCAGGTCTCTGTGTGAAGAGTGACGATATGCCCCTTCTTCTAGGACTTTTTGGGGACTCAGGAGGACAAGGGTGTGTGATCGAGTGATTCAGGGACACGGAGAGTGGGATCAAGCCTAGGGCTTCAGGAACCACTGCCCACATGTCCCTGCCCCACCCCACCAGGTTTCCTCAATGAGGCCCAACCATGGGCTGCAGAGACATTCAGCATCAGCTTGCCGAGGTAAAGCTGGGCTCCAAGGTATTTATTTGGTACCCCGCAGAAGGCCTTGGCGCCATCGGTCCGAGCCCTCACTGTGGGCTCTTATGTGATTATCACTCCCAGTCTGT